CTGCCTTGCATGCACAAAATCGAGCCAGTTTCTTCACTGCATTTACTCAGGACACCACAGATGAGGTTGCTCGATGTCGGGAGGAGAGGAGCAGTTACCTGGACCTCTCACATTTGGGCCTGCAAACCCTGCCGACGGGAATCTTCAAGGAGGTCGGCTTCATTGAAAGCCTCTTCCTTTACGGCAACAGACTGACGAGCCTCTCTCCTAGTCTCTGCTCTCTACCCAACCTCCACCGCCTGATGCTGCAACAGAATTGGATCACCTGTTGCGGTCTGCCCAACGAAATCTCCAAACTCACCCACCTAGAGGTACTGGACCTTCGTCACAATCGCCTCGAGGGAAACCTGCCTGCTTGCATCTACAAACTGGTTAATTTGCAACAGCTGATACTCAGCTATAACAAGCTAACCGTCCTCAGTGATGACCTAAAAAATCTGCATGTAAGCTACTGTCCCTTTATTTCTGTAGACCCGATGTATTTCTTGGGAAATTGCCGTGCGCATCGGAGCGCATGAAACTTTCAAATAGTTAGTGCTGTTCCGTACTGAAGTTAGCATTTTAATAAGTTACTAGCATATAGAGGAGAAGGCGACTCGATCGCTGGGACAATATTTTTTATTCGCTTTACGTTTCGAGATCCGTCGCGGATTCGTCATCACAGCCATAGTCCGACCCCCCCCCTTCGTAGCATACGCCCAAATGAATTCATTCAACGTGACATGCTGGCTTTTGGCGGGGAATCTAAACAGCACTTGTGCTAGTCGTTCTCAAGCATAATACTACTTAAGTAGCAGACACTGTTTCATTTGTAACTTCTATATGAATTCAATCACGGTCCCTAGAACGTTCGCGTAATTCTCATCCTTAAAACAATTGATACTCATGCATTTTCCGAAATCCTCCTTCCATTCTTCCACGAAGTTTACCCTTTCACGGTCGTTTCCCAGGCACCTTAGGGGAGGCCAACAGTTCTTGAAGTGTTGGATTAGGTCTGAATTGCGTTGCATTAACAAGAGCATGAAGGATCTTGGGGATTTGGAATACAGCCGGGCCTTCAACTGTCGCTCACACTGTTTGTTCGAGGTTGTCTCCTGTAGCACTTTGGCCCAAGAACCTAACTACAAGGCAGCGGTGGCAAACAAATTAATTAAATGGTGGTTCACGGTTGCCATGGCACAGTGGCTTCATCGGAACTCGCGGCATCTTATAAGGCAGTCGGTGCAACAGACCTCAGCCTTCCGCGACTGCTTATTCCCCAGACTCAGGAGCCTGCTTATTTCGCAGCTAACTTTCACCGAAGGCCGTTCCATTATCCACCACATGTGAATGCGCCAGTTAGCCAGCAGCTAGGCTGGATGGAGCTTTCCAGATCCGCTGCCGCTAATCGTCACGCGTGGAGAGATAGAGGGAGAAATACGGTTTATTTTGAAAATTTAATTCCAAAATTTTCAGCAAAAACGTCCTCCATTCACAAGGGATACAATTAGGCGCACCAACTCACAGCACCGCGAAATCAAAAGCAGTCCATAATCGTCAATGGCTGCAATTGTCGACGTCGTAGATAAACGTCCTTGGAACATTCGCCAAATATAGGTCAAATTGGACTGCTTTCAAAACGATGCTAGTGTCATGCACCGATGACCTCATTGTAGTTCAAATAAACACGTCCGTGACATTATTCAGTCTGGCTAGATGAGTCATGATCACAGCCGTATAAAGTACAGGTACATTAGTAAGCCTGTGCATATCAGACCACATGCACGTTAATGCGAAGTTCTGAAGAATTAGTTTTTGTTAGCGTTTCTCGGAGGACTCAGTTACGTTATCTTAACCCGAATGCATTTAAAGGGTTACCTTTTTATCCGCTTATTCATACTGAGTAAGATTAGAACATAGGTGTCCGGAATTATTCTTGATCAAAAGCCACTTTGGCACTGAGCCTAAATTTACTTCGAGTTGGTAGCATTGCCGGCAATAACAAGGGAGACTGGAATGACCATTTCGGGCTCATAGGCCGACATCTGTCAGTCATACCCAACCCCAAGTGGCGCCCCACTCGAGGTACCACTTCGGGTGCCCCACTTCGTGTGATGTTTCATGTTAATCAACAGTACAACCCATATTCTACTGAATGTTTAATGTGTAAAATCACGTAAGTTTTGGTTCGTATTGTCAGTTCGTATTGTTAGCGTAACTGGCCGCAGGTCTTTTTGATATTACCTTCCGCATGCCGTTGTCATAGAAGTCTGCATTTCCCCTGAGGATTCGTTTGACATGCAGTGTCCGATTTTCGAGGCGTCTTCAGGATCATCGATGATGAAGGTCACAGGTAGATAATTTAGCGAATATGCGAGCTCCATATGAAGGCGCAATCACTCGGACAACATTTGTGTTTGTCTGAGCTTTCGGCTTCATACTAGAGGCCGTCTTCAAAGACAATGAGAGTGCAGTGAGAACTGACGCGTTTTTATATTCTAGCTACGAAAAAGGGCGATGGAAGGGAGTAGCATTCGTGGTGGTTTGAGTCCACGCTCACTTCGTCGTCACGACGTTCATCCTTGACCGGAAACTGGGCCGTGCTTCTTTGTCGGACGAACGAAGGGGATGATAGCAGGCGGCATATGGCATGTATGTTGATGGAGTCAGAGTTAGACACCCAGGCCTCCGGTAGTTCTCATCCCGTCTTCTTACCAGCCTGCGCCATTATCCACTTGCCCTCGGAGTTGAATTCTTGGCCTTTCTGTAGGGTACAGATAGCGATCTGAGACAAAGGGTCGCCTTTTCGCACTGCCCATTTGTGCTCCAGTATTCGCGGGCTAAGTCTTCGCCCGGCCTGCCCTGGATAATGATGAGGACAGTCGTGACATGGCACTTGACAAACAACACCAACCTACTCACATAGATCTAGTCTGTCTTTTATTTAAATGATGAGAAGACGCCTGGCAGCTACCGGGCGATGGGCGATACCCACGCCGAGCTCTGCAACGATACGTTCCGGGGCTTCTAATCCATTCTTTATGCATGGTAGAGGGGGCCAGAGTGTTAGTAGCTTTCCTTCGTTTGTTCCCCGCGGGCGCGTTCGGGGACAGTGGCTGACGAAGTTGTTCAGGCATCCATTAGACTTATCTGTCAGTCAATGTATTTAGTCTTTTTTAATGGTGGACAAGGGATGTACTTTTGACAAAACATTTTTACAACAGTCCGTGCATTTCCACCAATTATCTGTTAGGAGCCTGCGTAAGATTGCTACCTGCGGTGTAGACCAGCTTACCTGCAGTCACCATAGTAATTTTGATAGACTGACCCCTTTCTTCGTAATAGTAGCGGTTGGGTATAGCTAGCCGAGGCTGATTTATAAGCCCAAAGTGGCTATCGCAGCCTTGTGTTTATCGGTCCTACTTCCAGCATTATTAGCTCGCTGTAATATGAGCTAGTTGTGCTTAACTTCTGCTCCCCTTTGGATTTGCCCGTGACCTATGTGTTTATATGCACATTGTTAGATATTTACTGTTCGCATTCTACCAGTTATATAATAGCTGCATTCAGCTACGTCATTGTCCTTTTCCCTTGAGGTCACCTTCCTGTGGTTGGATTTGACGTTTCATTTTTAAGACAACAAGGCGATTGTGTGTGCGCA